TTGCGTAAGCGCACAAATGGCGCGGCTCACTTTCGCATTTAGCTTCGAGGTAGTTCAGTAAATTGATTTTTCTTGCAATTCGTCGGGCCCACAGAGGAGAGGCCTGGGAGCGGCGCATATGGAAGGCAGACGAACAGCGTGCGTCGCTCTATACATTGAACCGACAGTTAACGAAAACACGACCATCTGTTTGCCCGCTGACTAACAACGCGGGCATTCAATGTTACGATGCCAAGGGCAGAGCGGATATCCTAGCTGAGCACTTCGAGGAGCAGTTTATGCGGAACCCAGCAAGTGCGGAGTTCATGGAAATCCATACCCGGAAGGAGAGCCACGTGCAGGAGCTCCTGTCGTCGCCCGCGCCACCGCTTGCAGGAGAGTGGTTTATATCCCCCGCCGAACTGCGGAGGACAGTAACCCGCCTGCAATCGAGGAAGGCGCCGGGGCACGACGGGATTACCAACGCTGCACTACGATAGCTGCCCAATAGAGTCCTTGTAGAGATAGGTCGGCTCTACAAAGGCATATTGCGGACATCCCACTTCCAGAAGGACTGGAAGAAAGGCAAAGTCATCGTCTTGCCGAAACCCGGGAAGGACAGGCGTAGAGCTGCCAACTACAGGCCGATCACGCTGCTACCGCATATAGCTAAACTGTGCGAAAGATTACTGTTAAGACGTCTCCGCCCGTGCATCCAACTTCGGGCGGAGCAACATGGATTCAGGAGGGGTCACTCAACAGCAACACAGCAGACCTGAGTGCTGCACCTGCTTGCGGCCGAACACAACCGTGGCCGCATATCGTTGGGCGTCTTTCTCGATATCGAGAAGGCGTTCGACCGGGTGTGGCACACAGGATTACTCTACAAGTTAGACGTACAAACAAGTATCCCTCCTGCTATATTGCGGCTAGTGGCGTCTTTCCTGGAAGGCAGGAAGTTCTACGTCTGCGTAGAGGACGCCGTGTCCGCAATAAAGACCATAACAGCTGGTGCGCCACAGGGCAGCTGTCTGTCTCCAGCCCTGTACGCGGCGTACACAAATGACATCCCTACCCTGGCAGGACATTTGCACGAATGGGAGGACGACGTCGAATTAGCGCTTTTTGCGGATGACAGCGCATACTTCACGTCGTCCAGAAGAGCCCACATTGCAGCTGCCAGGATGCAACGTCTGCTGGACCTGCTGCCACCATGGTTGGATGAGTGGAGGATGGCCGTCAATGTTAGCAAGACGACCGCTCTACTCACTCGCCGCTATAGAAATCTACCACCACCGCTAACCCTCGGAGGCCAGGAGATCGCATATGAGAAGGCCGTGACCTACCTTGGATGTCGGATTGACAGGATGTTGCGTATGACTGCGCACGTCGACTCTGCTGTACGCAAAGCTCGATGTGCACGGGCAATGCTCCGCCCTGTCCTGACATCCAAGTTACCGACAAAGTCGAAGTTAATTATCTATAAAACATACATAAGACCCCTGCTAACATACGCTGCTCTGGCCTGGTATGCACTGAGCGATCATCAGAAGCGGCGACTTCAGGCCCAGCAGAATTTGTCATTACGAACCATAGTCGGAGCGGGTCGCTACGTCCGTAACGACGTTATAGCGGCCAACTTGAAGATGGAGAGCCTGCATGAATTCGTGGTCCGGCTGGCGCGCGGTATGTTTGACCGTACCGACAACGGCCACATGAATACCTCAACGGCTTCGCGCCGTTGCATGTAAGGCCGCCGGACGGGCGACCCTATCCAAGAGAACTCCTCCCTAATATAGATTAGGGAGTTGAGTAAAACCCACAATGCCGCAGAAAGGCCAACTCAGATATAATAATTTGTGATTAAACACAAATTATAGATTACCACCTTTAATGACAAAATTAACCAACTGCGACAAAAGTCGCTAAAACAACGCCTATAACATCTAGGCGCCCAGGACCGGCACACTGTAGTGTGCCGTGAGGAACATCCGGGCAAAGGGGTACACCCCGAGGCCCGAGACCTGCACGGCATTATGCCCTGCAGAGGACAGCAACGACGCTTGCAATTCGTTCGGGAAAAGTGCAAGACCAGCAGTCAATAAGAAGAAGAAAGAAAAAGTATAGGGAAGTGATAGGGAAAAGTAATTACTCTCTCACGGAACGGTTTGAAGATAATTGCTGTTTTATTCCCAAGGAATTCTCCCCTTAAAGTGATACAGTCCATATCGAAGAATTAAGGCGTTGGGACCGGGACGACTTCGGAAGACCCGTAATCCCCGCCTGAACCTATTTTCTGAAAAGGAAGAGGTTATCGCCCTTGTGTGTTACTCCGTTGCGGAGATCACATACTTTGTTCCCGAACCCAACGTAGGCGTTCTAGGAGGCCGGATCGAGAGAAACCTCCATTCCTCCCTTCTGTTTCTTAGTTTAACGTTTGTCTGGTTCCTTTTCAATGATATTACTGCTATTAGTAGATTACTACAATGTCAGTCTATTCAATGGTTAATATAGGAATGATCAATTATAGTGATATGTAAATATTAAATCGAATTCTTTTGTGTGATTTGTTTTTCTCATAAAAAAATCTGTGCGTTAACAATGTTTCAAGTATTAAGAAATGGTGTTTTGGAAACAAAGTGATTGTTTGATTTTCAATAAAATATATGTAAATAAACACCAACTTCATCTTTTAATTTAAATTACCTTTGTGTTCGAGAAGAAGAAAAATAATTGTTTCAGACCAGCAACGATTAGTATTATTATATAGTAATACAAAGAGGCATAGTTTTTACTTTTATGTCTGTATGTAAATAAAATTTGTATTGATTGTAAAATTATGATAATACTATAATGTGACGTAGAGTTATAAAATTCTGATGTATTGTGTTAGAAATAGTATACATATCATTCTGTTTTATATAATTTTATCAATATATATTAAATGTTTACATCAACACTTTCTTCATTTTTTGTGTAATCTCTTAGAACTTTAGACGTGTATAATGTTTCACTTTATCCATCCGTTTACTGCTATTGTGGCAGGACTAAGTGGATGTGGGAAGTCAAATTTTGTAATAAATTTAATAAAATTAGTTACAGAAATATGTAAATGTGATTTTAATCAAATAACATGGTGCTTTGATTTATACATATAATTTACAAAATGTTAACTATTATCAAGCAATACCAAATCTTAATATGTTAGACGGTCAGAACTCACATCTTGTTATTATTGATGATCTAATGAGAGAGTCTGATGGAATAATTGTGGATATATTTACAAAAGGTAGTCATCACAGGATTCTTAGTATATTTTATTTAACACAAAATTTATTTCATCATTGTAAAGGTTACGGAGACATTTCTTTAAACTCAAGTTATATAATATATTTTAAAAGCCCTCGAGATAAAACTTAAATAAGATATTCAGCACGACAAGTGTCTGAAGATAACCCAACATTCATTGAAGATACCTACAGGGATGTAACTGTAACAAATGTCTTCCCATTTAATGGTTTCTCTACAGTCTACGTCCACACAAAGGAGTTTAAATACACCGAGAATCAAACAATTCAAATCATTTCAGTTATGCATAGACTACAACAATGAGTGCGAAGAAAAAGAGAAGAATATGCAGTACTCAAGAGCTGAATATACATTCTTTAGTTCAAAATCTAGCCGGTTGCTCAGTTTCGAAGACTGGCTTCTCGTTATGCGACAAAAGCCTGAAGATCTTGCAGAAGCCGGTTTCTTTTACACCGGCCATGCAGACAGGAACAAGTGTTACCATTGCGGTGGTGGTTTTAAAAAAATTGTGAATATGATGCTGATCCTTGGCAGCAGCATGTTCAGTGGTTTAGTCAGTGTGCTTATGTAAAGTTTAAATTCGAACAGTATTTTGTATAAGGTTAAATAAGGGGTTAATAAAGAAATAAAAAATATTATACACCATTCCATTTATTTAATTTAATGTTATAATGTTTCACACAGTTACAACCACAAAAAATGCATTACACATAACACACAAATCTAGTTGATAGAATTAAGAATGAGTGGACTTCAGTTAGTGGCAAATATTGCATAATATACAGAACTGATATAAACTAACTACTAACAAAACTATAATATTTTACTATACCATTTTTTTAGCGACAACATACGGATGTTATTGAAAGTTGTCAATTATACTAACTTTATATTTGCTATGCTACAACATAGCCGTTCGATCTGATCGTAAAATTTTTTTGGGTTTTGGCGTGGCTAAGGGCTCGCCTTGCCTCGCCTCGCCTCGTCTCAATGTATACCAGTAAACATTTAAGCTTTTGTAAGCAGACTACGACGAATCGCACAATTTGTTAACGACATAAATACAGGAGATATAACAAAAATAACATTTTCTGAATGAAAAATGAAAAACAGCGGCTAAAGTGGGTTTGTGACCCGGAGGTTTGAATCCCGCACGAGGTGTTTGTATGTTTGTAGGGCTCACAAATAATTGCTTCGGGTTTGGATGTTTGTCTGTGTGCAAAGTATGTAGTTTCCTTGCGAAATTACGCCGTATCAAGTAGATTTTCTAACAGTCAACAGAGGATACGTAAAACAGGATTTGGACAACATAAACTTCGTGATAACAACTCTAAAAATAGGAAACCACAGTAGCTTACCCATCTGTCAAGTTAGAGACACATGGCCTGAACAGAAGAACAAAATAAAATCATTTGGATTAATTTTTGTAGTAATATTTTTGTACACCTCAAACGGGAAATGGAGAAATTGTCGACTGAAAAATTTCAAGTTATTTTTACTACGTTTTTGTTATGTTACTTTCTTGTTTGTATGTTTGCCTGTCTGTCGTTCTTTGTTGAAACTTGAAACTCAAATTTCGAGCAATTTCTGATGAGCTAAAAACGTGGTATAACCAAAACATAATTTCGCATTACATAAAATTTAATTTTAAATTAAGTTTCAATATAACTATCAGATAAGTGCTCGCAAAACGTGAATGCTCGAGTACGAATATGACTACGTCTAATTCAAGTTCTAGAGATATAAGCCTGCAACTGTCGTCGTCACCGGGTATGTAAATTTATAAATTGAATTTTCGCATGTGTCGGACATACGAGGGAGCGATGCAAGTGTTGGCTGCGTATTTGCATTTGCTGTGAATGTCATTGTCACGACCTTAATTGCCCCCTAACGAATGAAGAGTAATTCATGGAAATGAACAAAGTTAAGTAATAAATGAAAAGAAGTTTTATATGCGTGTGTAGATGTGATTGCTGAAACTTAGACATAAAAACTTTTGATAAGTTTCCTTTTGATCTAAACTTAAAGTTATTTGATATTAAATAATTAAGTTACTTTAAATTGAAACGCGCTAGATGCGGGAATGCTTTTACCACGCAGCGTAACGCACCTGTCCGTTAGCATGAGTTTTCTTCTTCTTTTTATTTTCAGCCTATAATACTCCCGTGATGCCTCTCTAATTGTTGGAATGATTTGCCATAACCATTGTTTGGCAGATGGATTGGCCATCGCAGTACTAGACATCTCGCACCTTTGACGCAGCTTCCCTTTGCTAGTCTTGATAATTTACAACTATCATACTACGAGACCACATAATAAGTGAGAATAGAGCCGACTCTAAATAAAGGAACACGGCAAGGAAGAAGAAGTAGAAAAATATACAAGACCTAGTAAGAGATGCAAGTAGTCAATGGATCCACTTGGCTTAGTCCTTGGGGAGGGCTATATTTAGCAGAGGTGAGATGTTTAGATAGTAGGAAGCACTGGAATGCGAAAGACTGTAATGATGATATACGAGATAATCCACCTTAGTATTAGAGTCCTATAGTAGGCGGTTGATTAGGACGCTATTTCGAGCTGTTAACTTAGTTGCCTGTGTGTGAGTGGTGCATTCTACAATGTTTGGTTGATGATGACGAAAGATGTATTTAGATCTAACAGGATCCTTTATTTTATAACGATATAGTTACTTGTAAAATAAATTATTATCCAATAACTTTTGAGACAATAAAAGTGGAAAAAAACTGTATAAGTTGAGTACCTAGACCGGCAATGCACTGGGGAAGAGCGGCGGAGATACCTAGCCACAAAAATCTTTTCGGAAATGACAGGAGGGAGGCGTTCAGCAGTGGGACGTACACTTTACTTTATTTCTACCCAGACCGACGATCGGGAGCAGCGTCACGAATGGGAAACGTCTATAGAATAGAATAGAATATTGATTTATTTGTCTAGTACTGCAGTTGCCAATTTACCTGCACAGAAGGTGATTGAACTGGAGATTAGAACAACCCTTCCTATAACAGATGTGGCTCGTGTTACACAAAATATATAACACAAAATTAATGTTTTATATAAAAATATACACAAATTCAAATTAAATATATTCCCAATAGTAACGTTTGTTTGTTTAGTCTTTTCTGCGAGTTTATATATTATTATTCAGCGACATTTTAATGACCAAGTCGCTTAATAAAAGTTATTCAAACGACGACGTGCTCGTTAAAACGTTACGCTCAGCTAAATAATCAGACTACAAATTAAACTGTAAACCTTCAAATCGCTTATGTTGCTATATGCCTGAAACTTAATAAAAGCGAATGTGTAAAAACATAAAAGATCTTTTACGAAAGCATTTTTGTTCACTCCGTTGAAGATAAACGGAAAATGTACTTTGCAGCATAAAGCAGAAAGCAAAATATACGTATTAGGATTATACTGGTGCAAAAGCCTGTCGCCAGTAAATGTACAACACATAAATGAAAAGCAAGTAAAGTTAGTTAGTTGGATAATAAGACGGCATAATATACACAGCAAAAATCCTGCGATTGCTAACTCGCCAAGCGTGAAAATTTGGTGTATATTTGCCAAAGTTTACATATAAGGCAATTCACTGGCATGTTGCCGGTAATGACATATGGGTCTAATACGTTATCCGTCACTGCTGGCCATATCAGGAAGCCTTAAGTCGTCAACCAGCTTGGCTGACGACTTAACCTCCTGAGGCTCACAGTAGTATATATACAACATAAAAAATAAAAATTTATTACACCTCCATCTGTTGAATTATCGTCAAAATTTTATAATTTGACCACAGAGGATATGTTGCTTGAATAATCAAAGTAGTAATTTTTTTGCAACTTGTCATATTTTTTGACATCAGTCTACTTGTTGCGAAAGATGGCAGAACAACGGTGGCGAAGTGGTGAGTAATCTTTAAATTTTGTGCAAATCTATAGTATTTACATTATTTTTTTGGTGTGAAACTGTAATCCAAATAGTCTTCTTTGTAATAAAAACAATATTTTACAGATTGCGATAGTTATTTATGGTAAATTTGAAATTTACTACCTATGTTGTATATTTACTACATCGGTTCTTAATTCCGTACCTACATGTTCGAAGTCCTGATGTAATACCTATACAACATTAGGTATTTCATTTATTTTTGTTAGATTTACTGACTTATTTTTCAGTTTTGAAAGTTGCAGACATTACCGATGCCCTCGAAGATTCGTACCTGGATATTTTATCAGACGATGATGACGCTAAACAGTCAGAAGAGTCACCTCTTGTGAGTCTAGTCTAAGTGATTCTGATTCAGGTTCTCCTCCAGAATCTGAAAGCGAATCTCGGCCTTTGTTAGAAATTTCTACTTCATCGTCATCCTGTCGAGTACGTTCTACAACTAGAGGCGGAGCTAGAACACGAGGAGGTCATTCAAGACAACAGACGGGTGTAAGAACAACAGGAGGACGGAGTGTTTGTACTCGCAATTCTACTGTGCAATCAACGGATAATAACTGGAATCGAGATTTTTCTCCTTTGGAGCGGTCATTATTTCAACCACGATATGTTTTAGTGGACAAGAAGTTGCGGTCGCTAGAAGACTTTTTTAAACAATACATTGATGATGATATTTTAAAGAAGATTATGGTTGCTACTAACCAGACTTACTTTTCAAAAACAGGTAAATAACTGAAAATTGCACTGAAAGAACTGAATTTTTTATAGGAATTGCTATTAGCTTGCCACAGATTAGACAGTATTGGTCATAACAGTACGGAATAAACATTGTCAAAAAGCCATGACAAGGACAAGATTTTTCACAATCAGAACTTCTTTGAAGATAGTATACAATGCCGATGTTTCAGAAGAAGAGAACTAATAAAATATGGAACGTTGCACCACTGTTCGATGTTGTTCTTCGCGGTTGTCGCGCTCAGCCGAGAATGGATCACATCAGCATAGACGAAATGAGTATACCATTTAGTGGCCAGTGCGGTATACGTCAATACTGTCCAGGAAAGCCTAATCCCGTTGGTATAAGATATTTGTGTAACAGTTTGAGATATGGTGATTTATCAAGGGTGTACGACATTAAAAAAATTATGTAAAATTTTCTGAATTTATTTCAACATATCCATAAATGTTGTAATAAACTGACTACATGTAGTTCAATTCGAGTTTTACTTCAGTAGTAATTGAGAACCGATGTTGTTTGTAAACAACATTGAGAAAATCCCAGTTTTCCACCAAAGATTTTTTATTATATTTTTCCGGGTATTTATAACATTATTATAGCTCACTTATCTGATTTTTGTTAAATGTTTGAACTTAAAAAATTCTGGGCCTCAGGAGGTTAAAGCAACGAGAGGCTATGCTCGAGGTTTCTCTGCGTTTAGATTTAGAAATAAGGATATCCTCAGTAGAACCAGAGTAACCAAATTATCTCAATGGATTAGTAAGGTGGAGTGGCAATAGCCTGGCGATATAGCTCGAAGAACTGACAATGGATGAGATGGCGAAAAAAGTTTTTGCAGTAACATACAGAGGTATAGCATCGTCATCATTACAGCCCTGAACAAGCACACTAGTAAACATAGGCCTCCCCCAAGTAATGCTACAAAGGACGGTCACCCCTCATGTCGTATCGCGGACTTTTCTTTAGATAAAGTAGAGATATATATTTTTGTAGAACATTGTATTTACGTATCACTAGCCATTATGCCAGCGAATGCAGATAAATCATCGGGAGTGCTTTTTCTTTTGACTTGCTTAACAAAAATCAATATTTAAGGCTAGCTAAGAGGTGTTGCTTAATGCTAGATAGCCTAAGCTATTCCCCATAAATCTGGCTATAATATACAAAACTATTTTTTTTAAATCGAACTGGTAGTTTCAGGGATAAAGAGTTGGTTTAAACAAACAAAAAAACAAAAGGAAACAAAAAAATTCTTTTGCTTTATTATGTAATATTAATAACTACAACGTTTATATTATCTAAAATTGTTATAGATAATAAATACGTTGTAGTTTCAGTATTGTAAAATATTCTATTTGGGTTAAAAAGAAAAAATTACATCAGTCAAAATTGTTTGTAATTACTTTAAGGGCAAGAGGAATAATTATTAATTATCAAGTACTATTTTTTTATAGGATAGGGTGACAAACGAGCACACAGTCCACCTGATGGTAAGTGGTTGCTGTGGCCCATAGACACCTACATATATCCTGATTACGAATCAAAATGCATGCAAAATGCAATATTTAGGCTTTTACTTTTTACTTTAAATAGGGCTATTCACTGCTGATCATAGATTTCCCCTATTGTTTGTCAAATAAACCGGGTATTTGCAGTAGTATTCACGCTTGGCAAGCGGGTTGGCAACCTCCTGTTTCAGTTACCCTCTGTCACCTCATTAGACACCTACGGGACGAAATGGGGTTGTGGTTTCTCCTTCACCGCCTCGACATGACTAATATATTATTTTTACGCCCGTTCATCAATCAGATTTCCTCTACAGACTGCCAAATAAGTTGGATATTTGCCATAGTTGCCACGCGACTTGTCAACTGCATATTTTTATTATTTTGAGCTATGATCAGGAAGACGCCGCTGCCCATCTTATGTAGATTTCTACTCCTGTTCATGAATTTAGTTCTACTCACACGTTCACCGTGAACATAATTACATTTATGAAATTTTGAAGTCTACTCGAACGTAAAGAAATACTGCCATGTGGTGCTAATCAATATTCAATATGAACCAATATTAATAAAGACCATGAAATTAAACCTTATTTTATCAAAGCTATATAAACTTTAATAACGAGTAAATAACGCAATACCGATCCAGTGCAATTTTCCCTTCATAAAGGCAGAACTATCCTTTGTCTTCCTATACTATACATATTAAGGTATATTATTCGTATGTAAGTATATAATAATTAATTATTGGTACATGTTTGCCGAGTAATTATTCTGGAAGTATTTTTTGGTTATGCGAGTGCGTTGTCGTTCTCGCTGTCGCTGTCGCCAAGCGCTAAGGCTTGCTACACGGGGCGCACCTCCCCCCCCTCCTTTGTGTCGTCACTGCACACAGTGTGAAATTGTTTGTGAAAATTCATTGAAATCAGTTCAGTAGTTTACGACAAATAGTATGACACGTAATTTTAAAATATAAAGATATACTGAGAGTTTAAAGTGAATTACAGCTTGCTAAAATTTAAACTTAAAATTTTAATAAGTTATCGACTATAAGTTAATAATAATATCTAAATCTAAATATTATGAAAATATAATATAATTATGAAAGTTATGTCTATTCACAAAAATATGAATCTTTGGATAATGTCGCCTCTACACGTTGGCCAACACAGTGGCGAATGTAGTGGCCAATAGCATTGGCCAACGTGTAGACGGGGTGTTTGGGCTTCGTTGGTATGTATTGGAACGATGGCCCGCAAGTTGGCGCGAGATCCGTGTGGTGTCGGTTTTTACAAAACATCAAAGGATTGTTGGCAGAGTTTGGTGCGCGTCCACACGTTGGCCGCGAGTTTAGTTTGCTACAAGCTCCCAGAGTGATTACACGCATCTGATTAAAATTTTATATTCACGCTTTGTAGGGTGGATGACCCAATTACCAGCCTTTTAGTGCCAATTTCAATTTTAAACATTCATACTACTTTAATTAGCGCGATTTAATTATTTTTAAACATTTGTTTTATTCGATAAGCTATTTATAAAAAAAAAATAATGAACATTTATTTACAATCAGATTATTACGAGAATAATTTTAAAATGAAAAAAAATGAAGCACGTCGTTTATACGTGGTAGAACCATGCAGTTATGTTAGAAGTATAGTTGTAGCACGAATGGGTCGGTTCGACCAGGGAAGGACCACGCTCTCACAGAGTATCAGCGTGAAATAGTAGCTTAATGCTGCTGTGTTTCGTACAGTGAGTGTAGAGAACCAGAGACACTTTTTAAAGGTAACGAGGCATTTCATCTTAGTACTCACGGGTGACAACGCATCTGCATTTTGATTCGTAATCGAGGATAGATGTAGATGTCTGTGGGCCACAGCAACCACTTACCATCAGGTGAACTGTGTGCTCGTTTGTCACCCTATCCTATATAAAAAAGCGTCAATTTCTTATAATTTAATCGTGCAAGTTTTCGAATCATCATCATCATTACAGCTCTTCACAAGTCCACTACTGAACATCCTCCTCCAAAGAATGCCCCAAAGCATGGTCCTGAGCCACTTTCCTTGTCATGAGTTATTCATTTATGTTCTAAGTTATAATTAGTACCTATTATTAAGTCAGTGTTAATTATATTTATTGCTATAGTTTTTGTCTTTCTCAAAAAATAATTAAATTACCAAATAAATTATAAGGTGTTTTTTATATACCAACATCAAATGTCTAATAGAAAAGCAAGTACATTTTTTGATAAACTTTAAAAACAAAACCCAATTTTAAAACATAGACTAATCGATTATAACTCCTTTAACTTTAAAATAACTTAAATTCTAAATAATGGTATTTATTCCAGTTTCTGATGCATGTAAAGAATAAATAAAGCTAATCGTATATCTATTTACAGCCCCATTAATATTCACTATTCTTTTATAATTATTTTATAAAAAACGTTACCCCCCACACTTGGATTTTCTCCTGTATCGCGGAGGCAACTTACAAACATAAATTGGACAAGGACACACATCCAGACCCGAAACAATTATTTGTAGGATATACAAATACTTGTTCCGTGCGGGATTCAAACCCGCGACCCCTGGCACAGCCACTCATTGCCAAGCCACTGCGCCACGGAGCCGACGTCTAAAATAAAATAAATTCGTCCGCACATTGACCCGAACAGAAGTAAACTGAACGACCTTCCAACGTGTGGACGCCGTCACCAACTCTCGGCCAATATATTCGCCACTCCATTCGCCACTGTGTTGGCCAACGTGTAGAGGCGACATAAAATCCTTATAAACATTATTTGTTATTCCAAGCTAAAATTTGTATCGTTATATATAACGACTATTTACCTAAATGATGTTGGGAACGTTATGATAATGAGATGTGACATTAACCAGTCTAGTAATAAAATAATCCATTTTGGAGGGTTAAATGGGAAGCCAAAAAGATAATTGTATGTATTGCCATGTAAAATCTTTTTAAAGCACCATTTCAAAAATATATAATAAGGTTATTTTTAAGAAATATTTTTATATATAATATCATATCAGAATACGCCATGTTTTGGTGGTTTAAGAGAGAGATTATATTTCTTCCCATAGTTGTGGTAAGGGGCAATTATGACAAATGCTAGAAAGATCTCGTGACGTCAGTTAGACGACGGCGTAAGCATCTCTTTCATGTCCACTAAACATACACAGATTGGCTTCTGGGAGCAGTGTCAAAGATAGACGTTTGCCACTGTGATTAGCATGATCATATATTACACCTGGCAGTACTGGTAAATCTTCCCTATTATGAAAGGCAGAAAAAAAAAAGAAAAAAAGAACTTACGCTATTTTATTCGCTTCTTACCAGGAAACGGATAACTTACTTTCCTTGCAGAGGTGTGCCCTAGATACGCAAGCGCAATCTCTTTCTCTTACACACTAATTAAAACACGCGCGCGCCCTAGCGCCCACGCACACGTACACACATTCACATTCCCATGTTGACAATATTCCCTTATTGGTTGAACGTATTGGGTCATGGTATTTTCATACATTGCCTAGAGGCGTTGTGTCACATCGCAACATTTTTGTTTTGCACGTCGTACGACGTTCTGTCACACTATGCTATGTGTTGTGCTGTGGACTGCGACATTATGTCTTTGAGCGATAGTGTTGAGTTTGTTAAATAAATGAAATACCTAGGCTGCACAAAAATTTTGGGAATGGAATATTTTCACTGTTCCTGTCATATTAAAATCTTTTTAATGGAAATCTCCTTTGTTTTAAAAAATCGAATACCGTTTATTTCTTTAGAAAAAGATTCTCGGTCTTGTCACAAGGTTTTGTCAAACTTGTTTAGTCGTTGAGAAAATGGAATTGACTCGAGAAAATTCAAGAGCGATGATTTATTA